GTTCGACGAGCCGCTGGGGCCCTGATCAATTCGGCCAGTTTCCTTCTTTTTTCGGGACTCTTGCCCGATGCGTGCTACTTGAGCTTCCCACTTGATGCGGTTCAAGTTTTCACTTCGGATATCTTGGTCCACCTGTTCTCAGAGTTTTTAAAGTGAACAGGGGTAGTCCCGATGAATTTCGTTGTAGAAAATCCCTACGATCAATTCATTGGTGAAAACAGCTATAGTTGCCTGCTCATTCTGGTCAGGTATCTGCATATTTTTCTCATTGAACCTTTGCACATACGAGCGCAGAGACTCCTTGGGAGCCTGCTGTAAGTTCAGAAGATAGGCCGAGATTTTCGTAAATGGGCAAGACGATACAAAGTGGTGGATGAATCTGTCCACCAGATCATCCAGTGAGGAAATGCTCCTGGGTTCTAAACTCCAGAACCACTTTTGGACAGTTCCTTGTAAGAAGATAGGGAAGGCTCGACAGATCACTGCATCAAGCACGGAGGTGGTCCTCGGGATCACCTCATCCATCATAGGGCTGTAGGACCGAGAGTTTAAAATTGGGGGGAACCATCTCCCATTTATATCATCGATGAAATGCCGGGCCCTCATATAATCGGCGACCAACCTCTCCGGCCGTCGATGTTCGTTCTCAGACCGTTTCTCCAGTAAGTTTCGGGAGAACGCTCTGACAATAGAGACAATTTTGGATGTGGCCTTTGAGGAGGCACGCTTGGAAGCGCTTCGGGCCGTGTACCCGTTATCGGAGTCCTCTCCGGAAGGCATCTTGGGAGATTTTACTGACCTCCTCTTGGAGGATTCAACCTTTTTCTTCTTCTGTCTCTTGAAGTACCTTCCTAGTTCTTTAAAAATGTTGGAATTTTCTGCCACAAACTCGACTATCCTCGCAATGGCGTCTTCGTTCATAGGCCGGGGGCTGGAGGACCCGTATTCCTCAGAAGCATGGTCCTATTGGTTGGCTAAGCTCGGTCTAGCATCAGCAGAGAGCGCTTTTCTTCTACTGGATCGCGTAGGTCTCATCTTGAGTATACGTTCCCACAGACGGCGCCAATTGAAGAGGTGATTTTTGGTTAGGTAGTCGAACTGGACTAATCTAAATCCCTCTTACGAGAAGTGGAGTTCAAATAGAGGTTGTTTCGTTCGAGGTGGAAGGCGGCACTTTGTCCCCTGAGATCACTCCAACGATCAAGTTAGTATAATAAGAAAGTAAAGAGCAATAGCAGAAATGAATGCAATAGTAAGTTTACGTGCTTGAGGAGAGCGATGGGGTATTTATAGGAGGAGACTGGAAGGAAGGACAGAAGGTTTAAACCCAGGGTCTACAACATGTGTATTACGGCGCTGCTCCTGTAGGACTCTATCCTTGTCATGCGATGGTGGTGGTCCAGGCCTCCTGTCAGGTGACTCCGCGTACTTTCCATAAAAAATTCTGGCGAACTCAGGTAAAGTAGCGCTTCTTAATGATGTGTCAGGTAGGTTGACATCACCTGCGTGCACCCCAGGTGAGCTGTCTATAGTACATAGGATGAGGCCAGCTGTTCTGCCGAGATCTGATCCAGCCGAGGTTGAGGGAGAGAGTGCCATGATTCTCGGACATCGTCTCGATTACTACGATGAATGAGGTGACATTGCCTCAGATTAGGCGGAGCCGAGCCGTCCTCACATAGTGAGTCAATAAAATAATATGCAATGAAACATCCTTATCGTTACACTATATAAGAATTCGTTGTAATCAAAGGTTATGTTTGAATTTCAACTACAAAGATAAGGGTAGTTTGAAAATGTAAGAATATTTAAAATATAATTGAAAAGTATTCAAAAGTCTCTTCTAAAACTTATCTAAGATGATAAAACATTCTAAAGTATCAATTGGACCCCTCATCTCTTGAATCTATATATGTTCGTGAAAGATCCCTCAAGCAATGCTTCTGATTTCTCCCTCGACTTAAGTTCAACCTGAATTATCAAGTCAAGTTTATCCATCAATCACTTTGTGTCCAATCTAATCTAAAATAATCTTATTTTGGACTAACTATTTATATAATTTGGTGGGCATAATACGACTTAATCACATGTTTCTTATAAAAATAATAATGCCCAAAAATAATAGATAGATAAGAAACTTAAGTGGTTTTTTTCAAAGTTTTGTAGAAACTATTCCGATTTAGTGTTTTTTGCTAGGGGCATTTCTTTATAATCTCATAAATAAGTTCAAATCTGCATAATTGTTAAAGATCTGAATTGAAACTATCTTATTATAAAAAATTGGTGCAAATAATATTTTATAAATTTGAAATTGAAGAAAATGGTAACTAAAATCAGAAGAAATTCCTCATATAAATTCGAATTACAAACTATAGGTAGAAACTGCTTAATGATATTTTCTAAAGTTTACTTGTATGAGTATCCAATATTAATCTTGTTTGAACTATGGATAATAGTTGTTTCAATCAAATCAAGAAACATTAATGGGAGTGTTTGGATAGCAAACATATGCCAAATAATATTTTGCTTGTATCATAAATACATTTTTCAATTCACCTTTTTATATTTTCAATTACCTTTTTATCTCACATACATCACATCATAAAAAGTGTTACAGTAATATTTTCAAATAATATTTCTAATAATATCCTATCCAAACAAACCCATTGGGTTATGAGTAAATGAATTAATTCGCTATATTATTTATCATTGTACAACATACAGTTATGAGTAAATGAATTAATACAATGCAATCAAAATGGTGCTGTAGCTAAAACATTTAAACTCATCAAGTTCCACTAAAAATTCTTTTAGATAGCATAAAAAGTAAATTTTTATATTTGAAACTATAAACAGTAGAATACAAGAACGAGATCATAACATGAAAAGCAAATAGAGTGCAAATGACATCTTACTACTATGTAGCATGATTAATTTTCTTTTTTAGTTTCAATGAAGTACAAAATTCTAAGTTAATAAATTTTTCAATTATAAAATTTCCAATTAAAATAAACACAAGCTGAATTCCAAATCATATTATATGAAAAAAATAACTACTTGAACCATAATTTATCCGTAATATAAAATGCCATAATAATTCTGTTCAACCATCAAAAAATTAATTTGTCAAGAATCAAACTATTGGCAGAATCACCAGGCCTCGACTATATCCCTTCTTGCTATGCTTACTGCAACACCCACACCTATAAGCCTATTGCCTCAGACCCTCAAGTTTCAATCACTTTCATCGATTTTTCGTACCTTAGTTTCAACAATACTGATTAGTGTTTTCAAGCAATCTGAGACCTTAGAAGAAGATGTCAAGATTGGGGCTTCTTCATGGTAACTACCGGATCATACCCTTTTCTTCTTTTTTTTTCTCTCACTTGAGAATTTGGATTCCTAGCTACTTGGTGCAGAAAAACATCGAAAATTCTGAAAATTCATACCCCTTTCTTTTGAGAACTATCAAAATATATCATACTTCTACATGATTTAGTTTAAGTGGTATGTGTAGGTGGTGAATCACCATATACGAGAAAGTCTTTTTTTCGGTAAAATAAAGATGCATCAAAACAAAGTCAAAGTCTATAGAGTAATAGTTAAAGTACAATCATCAGTGTGTTAATGACACCCTTTTAAGTCTTGCAAAAGTAAGGGAAGGACAAAATCAAGATAGGGTTAAAAAAAGGTGGAGTATTCATTGTTGCTTCTTCTCTAGTTGGCTAGCATGTCTGCACAATTGTTTGCTTCGCGATAGTCACGGTAAAAACATAACTACTGGAATGTAGTCAACAGATCCCTGAAGTCAAGAACAATAGGAGAAAGTTCATGAAAAATAAGGTTATTTGGCTTAAATAAAGAGATAATATGTTGGTTGAGGAAGAAAAGATGATAAAATTACTTTCTGATTATTTTAGAAAGTGACAATATTATCTCAAATGATACCTTGACCAGAGACAGAATCTCTAGAATCTACTAAGGAAAACAATACAATTACTTAATTTTTAGAATTAGAAGTATCAAAAAGCAAACTATATGCATTTCTTGAATAAACCAATCATCAGGAAAAAAACTACATAAAAAGAAGACAAAACCAAAGAATTCACCTCAATTCAAAGGAAAAGGTACGCCTTCCACCAAATATTTAATAGCCATAATAAAACCAAAGGGGTGAAACTGAAAAAAAAAGAAAGGATATCGGCTAAACATAGGGGTATAAATATGATAATGATTGTTCAGATAATAATGAAGTTAATTAATTGTAATTAAAATCTAATTATGTAAACATCCAATTAATTCCTTAATGGATGAGAAAGGTTTCAGGAAATTGGAAGGCTTGGATATTAGTATAATAAATGATTAAAAGGACTTTTATATAAATCTATCAGAGCACAAGCTTAATTCAGTTGTACTTGATACTCAACTTAGCACCAAATATTGTAACATACCAAACCTGCCCCTAACCTTAAATGTCTAAAAGATTATATAAGTAACTATAATGAAATTAAAACTGTAATGACTTGTACTCAATGCTCCAATTACATTTCAAATACTCTCACATTCCCAAAATAATCTCACCCTTGAGATTGAAATCTAAAAACCGTTTCTGTCCTAAATTCGTTCTTATATAGTATAAAAATTTGGTTCAGAGGATTTCTTGTTTAGAAGTATAAAATCGAATTTTATCAAAAGTTCAGCATTTCGGGCAATTCAGACTAATGATAAATTACATATTGTGAATTTAGGATAGTTTTGGTTTATTCTGTATATCATACGGCATAGTACTCCAAAAAGTTCTTGGATGGTTTTCCTTCCAGGCATCTTTTGCATTAGAAACAGGTAGAGATAGATTATGTTAAGATTCAATTTATTCATACGCTTACAATTGATTGTCAGTTAGTCTCATTTTTTGTAATGCAGATTAACAGTCTTTTCGGAGTTCTTTTGACGTTTCTCAGGGACCGCTACCCTTCTCCAACGAGGCAAGAAGGAACTCTCTACCTAGGCTCTGTTGCTGAAATTGATACGCCATTCAAGGAACAAATAGTTTCTTTATCCTTTTCTACGTCTCCAAGAACCATCTCAATGAAGAATGCCGGTTGTTTTGGTGAGGGCAATTGCACGGCCTCGTTCGACAGCATGGACACCATTGCACGGTCTTGCACGCACAACAGACGCACCTGAATGCATCTAGTGACTTCATTTTCAGGGCAGGAGCCATTCAACATTGGGTCCATTAGCTCCAGAGCTCTTCCTTCCTTCCACAATTCCCATGCCTGAAACAAGGCCAGCGTTTTCATTTTACGGGTAATTATGACTCGAGAACTCTTTATCAAACTCAATAATATGCTACTTGCCTCACTAACCGAGTAGTAACTAAGAAGTTACCATTCCTACGAGGTTCAGTGGGTGTTCTGAATGATAGCAGCTGTTGTTTTTCTGACCGCTAACAATCTCGAGTAGCAGAACTCCAAAACTGAATACATCCGTCTTCATTAAAACAATGCCTTTTATTGCATACTCCGGGGACATGTAACCACTGAATGAAAATAAAAATTTTAAATTTAAATACATTTCCTTATTTGAAGCATTTGAGTGGACTAAACATTGATAAATAACGATTGATTGTTACATTCATGGCTTACTTGGTTCCAACCATTCTTTTTGTTTTTGCTTCAGATTCTTGCATTCCAAATATTCTTGCCAAACCAAAATCTGATATTTTAGGATTCGTGCTGCCATCAAGCAAGATATTGCCAGCTTTTAAATCCCTATGAATCACCCTTACTCTTGAGTACTTGTGGGGATAGAGCAATCCTCGAGCAATCCCTTCAATAATATTCAGACGTATACTCCATTTTAGCAACTCCTTTTTGCTAGAATCTGCCCCTGAAAATAAAAGCAACCTCCACATAATAACAAGAAAATTCTCCCATTTCCTGGATACAGTACATATCAATATCATATCTAGAATAACAGATACCAAAAAGCAAGAAATCCTGGCTTCTGTTGACCATGTACTCGTAAACTAAAATTTTCTCATCTGCTTGCAGGCAGCATCCCAATAGCCTCGTAAGATTTCTGTGCTGAAGTTTGGCAATCAGTAGAATTTCATTTTTGAACTCTACCACACCTTGGCCTGAATTTTTGGAAAGTATTTTTATTGCAACTTCTTGCCCGTCCTCTAATTTTCCCTGGAAATTTCTGACTGATAAGTGCATACAGTAACGTGTTTTAGTAATGCAACAGCTAGCTTACGATACTGACCTTGTAAACTGGTCCGAATCCGCCCTCTCCAAGCTTGCTTGTTATGAATTTTAAACCCATTACCCAAATCCCTAGCTTTTCTGTGTGAAGTAGGAGCGATTAAGATTTGAAATTCACCAGGAATTTAAGACTATAATTAAGTTAATCCAAATTCACCCAAAATAAAGGTTATCGAAATCCATACTCTAACACCTCTTCCTTTCTCTTCTAAACTATTCATTTTTGAGCTTATATGGAGCAAAAGTCGTGCTTCCAACTGCCGTTGACCATCAACCACTAATATGGAGCTAAACTTGGCCTGTCAACTGCTGTTGACAGCACCAGTAACATTTTCTTGCTGGTAGTGAGAGCGCTGGAAGAAGAGCATCTCTGTTAAGTGGGATGTGACTTGTGAGCCTTTGAGTGTTGCGATCTACAAAGGTAGATGCTATACCAAAATTCACCATCGTTGGATGCAAATTATTCATATTTGCATCTAGCAAGGCATTGCTAGATAGGCCTACTCTGTGCTCAAGAAGACATTGAGGAAAGGCCTAACGTGGCCACAGTAGTACTCATGCTCAACAGCTCTTCTCATGCCATGCCAACACCTCATCGAACTGTTTTTATTCCTGCCATTCTGGTTTGTGGTGATTTAGCTGTTGATACAGACAACATCAACTATATACCAACCATATTCCAAGCCTTCACCTCATAGTCTGTTGTTTGTCTTAACATTTCATTATGCCAACTGAAGAAGCACTGGACTTCCCCGGACCGAGCTGACCTGAAGAGCTCGGCGTGTTGATGGAAGAGCTAGTCCCAAGCCTGCAAAACAAACAAGAGAGTGGTCTAACAAGGGGGCCCCGAGGTGGTCCCCGGAGGCGCACTCCGACGGTCAAGTTAATTTTTCGGTGAGGGAGGTTCACGGGAAGTAAAGCAATCGGGCGTACTTTGCCAATAGTGAGTGTACCTTGTACAGTTGATGTGTGCTACCATTTATACCTGCTGGAGAGTCCGACCTCCGTACGATTCGGGACTTGCCCTCAATAGTATGAATCCCGCGCTGTGGGGGATTCTCCCCGCCTTCTGCGGGATAGCTCTCCGGAGCCCTGCGGAGCTCTAACGGCTGCGTGTTCCAGGCCATTCACCATGGGCCTAGGATCCAGGCCCAGCTCGGGTTGCCTTGGGCTGCCACGTGTCAGGGCCCAGGACAGGGCCTCTGCACTAGCCCCCTAGATTAGGTGAGGCTTCCGGGCAGACCTAATCTATTCCACTGCCACGTGGGAGGCCAGCGCCGCGCACTGCTCTGCCAAGGTCACCTCCGGACAGTGCTGTCCTTGGAAAGCCGCGCCCAGGTCCTGTCAACTGTCGCGTCTCTTCGGTCTCCGTACCGCTATTAAATGCGTTCACATGGGGACGGTTTAATTTCGAGCGACCGTTTCCCCCCATTTCTCTCCCTATAAATAAGAGTTACCAGATTTCACTCGATTCCATTTGCCATTTTCTCCTCTCTCCGTGCATCTTCATCCCCGCAGCAAACTTTCCGGCTCTCAGTACCCAGATTCCGGCGCTTCCACCATCTTCCCTTACTCCACTCATCAGTAAGTCCTTTCTTTTCTCCTTCACTCTCTCCCTCCTCTGCCACTTTCTACATTTCATGTCTGATAGTTCCAACGTCACCTCCACCTCCTCCCAGATTCCAATCCGCCGTAGAGCCCCCAGGGTTTTCATTTCCTCCTCATCTTTTTCTTCATCTTCACCCTCGCCATCATCTTCCTCCGCTTCTAATCCCAACTTCCGCATTCCTGATTTGCTCGAACCCATTAACATCATGAGCTCTCCATCCGCCCATTCTCCTTCCGCCCGAGCCCTGGAGGAGGCAGCCGAACTCGATGCCTTCATAGAGCAACAGGCCACTTCTATCCCTTCCCCCAAGTCCCCACACGACTCCCCTGGCGGAGCCCGGGGGGGAACTGGGGAGGACAGGGACTCCTCTGGGGGGAACCCGACCCCCGAGCAGGGGAGTGTCCCTGAGGTCAACTATGGCTACCCCGACCGGCAGGAGGCCACCCTCTCACCCGGGGTGGTGCCCGAGCTGGCCGAAACCTATTCCATTCCCCCGGCCTTCGAGCCGAGGGCGGCTGGGCCCGACGACCGAACCTGCCGACCTCCCCCTGGCTTTGTGGCCATCTATAGGGAGCAGCTGATCGCAGGGCTCCGGCTCCCCATCCCCTCAGCCTTAACCGAGATTCTGAACCATTGGGGGCTCAAAATCACCCAAGTCTATCCCAACTCGATCAGGATCATTATCGGATTTCTGATCTACTGCCGACTCCGCTCCATCCCCTACTCTCTCTCCCTTTTCTGGGCTGCCTTCATCCTTAAGGTCTCCCTCCCTGGATGGTACTACTTCTCCCACCGCAGGGCCGGCCAAGTCCGGGGAGGGAAAGGCGCCCAGGAGTTGTTCCACAGGGTCCCCTCCTCCGTGAAGGATTGGAAGGAGGACTTCTTTTTCGTCAAGTCCCTACACTTTCCTCCCAATGTTTGGAAGGTTGGGGAGGTCAGGGCCGACCCCTACCCGGAGGACCTAGACTACGAAACCCTCCGCCAGTTGGTGAGTTCCAAGGTGAAGCTCGATGCCACCAAGTTCTCCACCCATCAGATCTCTGCGGCCGGGCTGATGGGGACGTTGTCCGGGTCCCCTGGAGAGGTGGTGACCTCCCCTATCGACCTCGACGCCTGTAACGCCAACTATGTCCCTGTAGCTTGTATTTACGTTACCTGTTTCCTGTTGACCTGTTTTGGCTGACCTGGTGGTGTTTTTCGCAGTGAGGAGGCTTTCCAAATTGCTGGGCGCGTCCACTGAGGAGGCTACCCCCACCCCTCAGCCCGAGGCGGCCAAGGAGGCCCCTGGGGCGGATCGGACCTCGGGAGGCGGCCAAGCCCCCCAGAAGGAAGCGCAAGACACCTCCTCCCCCTCCAAGAAGGCCGCCAACAACAAGAAGAAGGCGATCGGGCAGAAGAGGGGTCGAGCGGACGAGCCCTCACAGCCCGGGAAGAAGCTCGCGCTGGTCACAACACAGCCCCCTCCCCTCACGCTGGCATCGGGAGGGCCAGTCCACCTGGGCGTCGGCTCTGCGGAGGAGCATGCCCGGGAGTCGCCTCCCCCGAGCCTATGGCACTTCCGCTACATAGCCCCCTTGAAGCCGGGCCAAGCCCCTGCCATGCACGACCCCCGCCACTTCTGTCCGTCTTGGAGGCTTTCCATCAACGACTGAGCCCAGTTTCCCGAGGTGGCTCGCGAGCTGATGGTGGGCTCCGTCTTTCCTCGCGACAGGAAGTGGATGGAGCTAGCCAACCCCACCGAGCTCCTGGACGCGTATTACACCGCCCAGGCCCAAGTAAGGCTTCTAGTCCGTGGGTCAGTTGTGCCTCTGTGTTTGGTTTAGGCGGCATAATGCACTGACTTGCTTTCCTCCTCCTCAGGCCAACGCCGCACTGCCCTGGCGACTCGCTTCTCCGAGCTGTCTCCCAACTTGGAGAAATTGCAAAAGAAGAATCAGGAGACAGAGCAGAGACTTACCCAGGCCCTTAAGGAGGCGGACTCCCTTAAGGCCAAATTGAGCAAGGCCGAGAAAGGGCTGGAGACGGCTCAGGTCCAGCTCGCCTCTACCAGGTCGGAACTCGACCAAGAGAAGGCCGGCGCGGCCAAGTTGAGGGAAGACCACGCCATCGAGCTCTCCGGCACCGTCAGCCGGGAGCGGAAGAAGGCTGTTCGGGAGTTCATCTCCTCCGAACAGTTTGCCCAGGACATCGCCCTCCTGAACGAGCCCATCTTCCAGGTCGGCTTCACACGAGCCCTAGATAAGGTCAAGGGGCTCGGCCTTCCTGGCTTCGACTTGGCTGCTTTCAAGGAATACAATCCTAAGGCCGAGGAGAAGGTAGACTGGCTCTTCGACGGGTATTGCAAGGGGCATGTCCTGAAGGAGCTAGCGGGCAGGAAGGATGTGGGAGCCGTCCTGGAGGAGGTTCCCCTGGAGGAGGGCGAGGCTTCCAGCAGAGCTCCTGGGAAGGAACCGGTAGCCTAGGGCGGCAACCACTCCAGAAACCCTCTCCATCTTCTCATAAGGATGCGACCATGCTCCAGTTGAAAATGCTCTTGAAGGTCCTTTCGAGATGGAAAGGCTCCCCTGCTTCTGGGCTCCTGAATAGCCTTCACCATACGCCTCTCAACATGCTTAAGGTGTACCTTCAACTCCTGCCTCAAGCAAGTCGGCAGCAAGAAAAGACCGATCGGGAAAGAGGGGCGCCGGGCTTTTTGTAGTTCCGTAGGCCTTGTAATAGGTAGGCTCCGAATGTATATGCGAAACATCACTCCATGAGAATGGTTTTGTAATAGATAGGCCCTGAATGTGTATGCGAAATATCACTGAATGAGAGTGGTTTAATTCTGACTTCCCGCTTTTGCTTGCGTCGAACTTTAGCACTCCCAACCGTATGCCGACCTCCTGGGCTGAGCACAAAATGGAGCAGCCAAGGCCGAGCGCCGACCTCCCGGGTCGAGCACCCGTTGGCTTTAGGGCTTTAATGCCGCGCCGACCTCTTGGGTCGAGCATAGGGCTCCCAGACTTTAAATACGTCCGACTATGTCAGACTACCTCGCGGCGTGCCGACCTCTTGAGGCCGAGCCTGGATTCCTGAATTTTGACAAACCGACAAACTGCATCCAAGGTTTTAAGCTGTGAGACCCCTGAATTTTGACAAACTGACAAACTGAATCCAAGGCTTTAAGCTGTGCCGACCTCTTGGGGCCGAGCAAGGTTCTAAGCTGTGCCGACCTCTTGGGGTCGAGCATCCGTCGATACTCGGTTCTAAGCTGGGCCGACCTCTTGGGGTCGAGCGTCCGTCGCTGTGCATCCCCAGCCCCCCACTAGGACACTTTGCAGCGGCTGAGTGTGCTAGTGTAGGACTTATTTAATGAACTCAAGACTTAAGAATAGAACAGCATAATAATGAACTTTAAAACTTGAAAGCCGAACATTTATTTAATGATGAATATTCCGGAGAGAGTACAGTAAGAGATCCTGGGCTAATCTACTCTACGAACAATCGCAGATTTGAGAAATGCCAAGTGCGGGGTACCTCTGATCCATCCAACTTCGCGAGCTTGCAGTAACCAGCTCGGTTAGCTTCCAGGACCTTGTACGGCCCCTCCCAATTTGGGTCGAGCTTGTTTGAGCTATGAGCTCGGCTGATCGAGTTCTTTCTCAAGACGAGGTCTCCCGGTTGGTACTGTATGCTCCTCACTCTGGCGTTGTGATAGCGGGCGAGCTGGCTTTTGTACTTAGCCATCCGTATCGCCGCTTCTCCGCGCTTGGTTTCCAGCATGTCCAAGTTACACCTCAGCTCCTCTTCGTTGGTCGAAGCAACGAAGTTCTGTGTCCGAGGCGAGGGGAGACCGATCTCCGCAGGCACCACTGCCTCTACCCCGTATGTCAGTGAGAACGGGGTCTCGTGGGTAGCTGTCCTTGGCGTGGTGCGATAGGCCCAGAGGACACTAGGGACCTCGTCTAGCCAGCTCGACTGGGCCAACTCCAACCTAGTTTTCAACCCTTGCAGAATGGTTCGGTTGGCGTTCTCCACCTGACTATTGGCCTGGGGGTGACCGACCGAGGTGAAGTGTTGGTTGATCCCGAACTCGGCGCACCAGCTCTTGAAGGGGTTTGCGGCGAACTGGCGCCCGTTGTCGGATATTAAGATATGCGGAATGCCGAAGCGGCAGACGATGTTCCTCCAGAAGAATTTTTGAATTGCTCTCCCATAGACAGTGGCCAGAGGCTCTGTTTCCATCCACTTCGTGAAGTAGTCGATGACTACCACGAGGTATTCGTACCTTCTCGGAGCTCGGGGGAAGGGGCCCAGGAGGTCTATCCCCCACTGGGCGAAGGGTCAAGGACTGTGGATGAGGACCATTTCCTGATCTGGTTGGTGGCGCAGTGGGGCGTGTACCTGGCAAGTTCGGCATTTTTGAACCAGATCCGCAGCATCACGGAACACCGAGGGCCAATAGTAGCCCAGGAGAAAACACTTTTTGGTGAGTACTCGGGACCCCACATGGGCCGCACACAAACCCTCGTGAACCTT